ATCAAACCATTAACCAGTTTCTTTTACAGAGTTACAACCTCCTACCCACCAAGGACTCAGACCTCAACAACCCAAGCCCTACTGCCTCCTAAACCTTCTCGCCCCATTTTTCACTACAGATATGGCTTTCAGGCCTTATTATCTCCAACTCAGGTTTTCGGCATTCCTTGACCATCTTCTTCATGACAAACGACTCCTCCCTTTCCCGTGTCCACTCGACGACTGGCCGGACCAACTTGCATTCTTCTACCTCCAGGGCACCTTCCAAGACTTACACCCCAGCGAAATTTTTTCTTTCATCGCCTTCTTATGGGGCCTCATGTGGCTGGTTCTTTCACCCACCTCACCCAACAACGCCCTCCGCCAGCAGGAAGTAGCCAGACCAATCAACTACGCCCCTTTATCCCTTAACCAAAGAGTTGGGAATGAAAGGCCCCAGTCAGCCATAAGGAACCCGCCCCCTCCAAAGGCTAAGCATAGCCATGGCCCCCACCTAAAATGGCGCTCCCACCTAAGAAGGCACCTGGCCAAACTAACATGGAGGCTCGGACAAGGCTTTCCGGGTTCTTCTTCCACAACAAAGCCCACCATTCCCGTGCCCGCGAAAGCCCCCAACCAATCCCAAAAATACCTCACCTGCCGACCAATAGGTAACCGACAGGTCGCTTTAAATTTCTATAAAACCTGCTACACCCCTGCCTCCATGCTGCAATCTGATTCTCAGGTTCTGTAGCCACCGCGCTCATCCCCATTAAATCTCTTGGCCTTAAAAGGTGTTGAGTCTCACTGCGCGCCACCGTCTTTCAGGTTCAACATCTGCAAGACCATAAATGTATTTCAATACATCAACAGTTGTAAAAACAGGAACCACGTGATTATATCATTAGATGCAGAAAAAGCTTTTGATAAAATGCAGCACCTCTTTTTTCAACTGGGATATCAGAAAGAGGTATATATACACAATGGAATATTACACAGTGAAGGACACAATCATGAACTTCACAGCAACCTGGATGGATGCAGAGTCTATAATACTGAGTGATATATCACAGAAAAAAGAAACGAGTAGCACATGTTCTTACTCATAAGTGGACCTTGAACATTTGTCGTAAAACTATAAGAAAAGGATTGACAGTAGTGGGAAACTGTTGGCGGGGGGGTGGGATTGGCAGTAGTGGGAATCTGCCAGGGTAGGGAAGGCATACTTCATCAGCAAGGGTACCTGCATAATGAACATTTGTATGCCTAACCCTGAATGTACCCCACATCTTTAAAATTAAAAAAAAACTTAAAAAATTTATTTTAAAGATGTGGGGTACAATTCAGGGTTACGTATGCAAACGTTCATTATGCAGATACCCTTGTTGATAAGGTGCCCCCCCTACCCTGCAGAATCCCACTACTGCCAATCTATCTATTTTAGCCCAAGTTTTTTCAACCTTGGCACTATTGGCTTTTGGGGTAGATAATTCTCCATTGTGGGAAGCTGTCCTGTGCTTGGTAGGATGTTGAACTGCATCCCTGGCCTCTACCCTACACTAGATGCCAGAAGTATTCTTTCTGTCCTTATGTTTTGATCACCTACATGTCCCTATGTCTTTCAAAATATCCCTAGGACAGTCAAATTCCCCCTAGTAGAGAAAAGGATTGGCAGTAGGCTGCCCATTTAAAAATAATTATCTACTATACATTCACTGTTTTTCTTTTCTTTTCTTTCTTTCTTTCTTTTTTTTGATAGGAGTCTCCCTTTTTGTCGTCCAGGCTGGAGTGCAGTGGCATGCTCATGGTCACTACAGCCTCAATCTGCTAGGCTCAGGAGATCCTTCCGCCTCAGCCTTCCAAGTAGCTGGAACTACAGATGCACACCACCACGCTTGGCTAGTTTTTGTGATTTATTATAGAGACAAGGTCTCACCAAGTTGCCCGGGCTGGTCTCAAACCCCCAGCCTCAGGCAGCCCTCTTGCCTTGGCCTCCCAAAGTGCTGAGATTACAATCTAAGTCACCACACCTGGCCCACTGTTTTTCAATTGGGATATCAGAAAGAGGTACATATACGCAATGGAATATTACACAGCCATAAAGAAAAATAAAATTATGGACTTTGCAGCAAGTTATGGATTTAGAATCTATAATACTCAGTGCTTTATCACAGAAACAAAGATCTGAGTGCTACATGTACTCAATCATAAGTGTACCTGGAACATTTGTCATAATACTATAAAAAAGGGATTGGCAGTAGTGGGACATTGCCAGGGAAGGGAAGGTGGAGCACATAGCATCAATAAGGGTTCCCAAACTGTACCTCTATCATGACCACTTATGCACATAACCCTGAATTGTACCCTACACTTTTGAAATAATAATAATAATAAAAGAGGTCATCAATAGCTAATAGCTTCAATGGGAGCCTGGGGAGTCCACTGTGAGGTGAACACCTACCCTACACTTCATAGGATGAGTGATTTCTTTTTTTTTTGAGTTGGAATCTCACTCCTTCGCCCAGGCTGGAATGCAGTGGCACACACGCTCGCAGCCACCCCAGCATTGACCTGTTGTGCTCTGGCAGTCCTTCTGCCGCAAAAAAAAGTGCTGGGATTACAGGCTGAGCCACTGAGCCCTGCCAAGTCATTTCTTTTACTGATTGTTAGAGGCCTCAATATAGTCCCCATCAACTCCCTACTGCCTCACAATTTCAGTTGCAAAAGGCACAAAAGATCCCAATTTTTTTCAAGTCTGGAGCTAGGATTCTGCACACTCCGTTGGGAGTGCTGGATCTCAGGGACAGAGGGGAGAGGGACACAGCAGCCCCACTTGGGAGAGACAGAGTGAAATGACAAGTAAGACACCAGTGTTAATGAGGACAAGATGTTTTATTTTTTGACAGGATCAGGAACAGACACTGCCAATCCTCAGCAGGTGCAGAGATGGAGGGAGCTGTGAGATCCTGGACATCAAATAGGAACATTTTCATGGAAAGAGCAGACAACCTCTACAGGAACCTGTTCGCTCAGCCTATGAAAACCAGAACAGGGGGTATCTAGTCAAGGCTGTGTCAGGATGAGGCTTTTCCTTGGCCCTTGGAATGCTGGTTTCCTCTAAAATCACTTGTCTCCACATAAGGATCCAGGTCAGCAGCAGCCTCCAGAGCCGTGGCCACAGCCAGAGCCCCCTCCTTGTTGACCACTGCCCCCTTCGCAGGAGTCGGAGCTCAGAAGCCGGCATCGGTGGGACCTGTGGGGCCTGTGGTGGCTCAGGCAGCAGCCGCCCTCGGAGGTGGGGCCACAGCTCCCATGGCTTGGAGCACAGCCAGAGGAGACTGGAGGCAGGCAATGTGCTGGTCTCTTTGGGGGGCACTTGGATGAGGGGCACTTGGGCGGGGGCTGGCACTGCTGCTGGTTCTGCTGGCAGGACATTTCTGCAGGAGTGGTGTTGCCCTGGACAAAACAAAGTCACTTATCAGTTCAGAATCGACAATATCTCCTTTCTTCTAAGACTAGCTGCCTCCCTCCAGCTGCAGAAGGGCAGATTTGGAGTTGGTGGGTTGGTGCCAGATGGTGCCAGATTTGGAGTTGGTGGGATGGTACCAGATGCCTCCCACATTGCTCTCCACCCAAGACGGATTGCTGCCAGTCTAATTCGGCATCCAAGGTTTGAGTCTGAAAGAACACTAGGGGATGGACATTCTGGAGGAAGAATGTCACCAGAACCATGTGTGGGCCTGAGTAGAGAGAGAGAGAATGGAGACAGAGGAGAATCCAGACCTCCTGTGGCCCTTGTCAGTCATGGAAATTATATTGGGTCCCACGGGGTCTCCTTCCTGCCCCTGCTCCCCCCATTGCGGCCCTCTCTGAGGTCCTGTCTCTGGGTCTTCATTCCAGATCTCCCAGTTTCCCTCTCTTCTACTATGACCTTAGCTTTCTGTTCCAACATCCCAACTGGAGTCCCAGCTCCTGCTGGACACTCACCTGGTGCAAAGGAGACAGGAAAGACTGTTCCCGAGCAGGCTGTGGATGAGGAGCCCAGGGGCAGGAGCACTTTTATCCTGCACAGGGTTTGTGATGCATAGCCCAGGCATGCAGCTGCTTTCACAACTAGGGAGGTGACACTCAGTACACGCCCCGGACTATGTTTCCAGCATTTTCCTGGGCACTTCCATAATATCCAACTGATGAGACTGAACCAGGAAGCAGGATGGCTGTCTACATACCTCCTGCTGGGGCCTCCTAAGAGCCTGTCACTTCTTTCTCTCTGCCTCTTTCCTTCTTTCAGCTCACGTGCCTTGGAGCAGAGTTTGTCTCATGTGGTTTTCTGGGTATGAGTATGACTATGATAGAACTTGTTCTTGAATTCATGGCCTAACAGGACAAATATACAAACAGACAAATAAATAAATTGCAAAGCAAGTCTCCAGTGATAAATGCTGTAATATAGAATGCACAAAGCCCCCAGACTGCCAATGACCATGGCCTTCAGCTGTAATCCACTGCTGCCTTCTGAGCTCCTGGCAGTGAGATGCCTGGCTACATCATGGAGGTCTATGCTGAGGTCCTGACTGGTAGGAGCCCTCAGATGACTTCATGGCACCCAAAAGACTGCATGGAGTTTTTGAGCATGAAGGGGCATAACCAAATTTGCTTTTGATGCATAAATAAATACATTTTACAGATTTGAAAAAATTCTCTATTTTTAATATATTTATGTGACCTGAAAACTATTTGCCCATTTGAATCTATTATAATATCATGCTATATTCAAATAAGAAAACTTTATCAATTTATATATCATTTAAATACCTTTTTGCTATGAAAATAGTATTATGTTAAGGATTTATATTTTCTTTTTTCTTTTTGGTCGGGGATCTCACTCTGTCACTCAGGCTGGTGTGCAGTGGCACAATCATGATGATCCCAGCTCATGGCAGCCTTGATCTCCTGGGCTCAAGCAGTTGTTCCACCTCTGCATCCTGAGTTGCTGGGACTGCAGGCATGAGCCAGTATGCATGTCTGGCTAAATTTTTTATTTTTTGCAGAGATGAGATTTTACTATATTGCTCAGGCTGGTCTTGAACTCCTGGGCTCAAGCAATCTGCCCACCTTGGCCTCCCAAAGTGCTGGCATTACAGGCATGAGCCACTATGCCTGGCTGATTTATACTTTTTTACAGAGAAAAAATGTTCATGGCCTATTGCTAACTGGTAAAAGCTGTCAATAAAGCAGTATACACCATGTATTGAATGCTATTTTGAATGCAATATTTCTGTCGTGAATGTGTCTTATTTTATTATGACCATAAAAACCGATGAGACTGCCTTCTGCTCTTAGACAATTGTGTTTTCCTCACTTCATTTTGAAACTCACCCATGTTGAAACATAGAGATAGATTCCATGAGTTAATTCAAGGTACTGTTGGAAAGGACTTGTAGTGACCTTCAGGAGGGTTAGCTCAGGATGGAGGTGGCAGAAGAGGCAGCTGAGGAAAGAGTGTATGTCCTTAGTCGTATTATCTTGTCTCCAGAATGAGGTTCTTCTCCCCCTGAGGTTGACTCTGTACTTTCAGTGTCAGCCTCATTTCAGTTTTAAAGATTGTTTCCCTCACATTTATTGAAAGCCCTGCCACTTGACACTGGACTGGACATGGGAAAGATAGGTGATGAAAATAGATGCTGTTTTCCATGCAGACTCAGTGATGAGGATGAGCAGACAGAGAACAGTGGGAAACACATTTCTGTTCTTATCAGTTTTGCTGGACAGGGAAGGCCTTAGATGATGCCATGAGGATAGGGTTCCTCTCTCTTGATCTACCTGGGGAGCTGTTGTTTCAATGTAATTACTAGAGAGTGTCTTGGTTTAGACAGTAATACAGAGATCAGTCTAATGGAGGTGATACTAACAACATACTTGGGGGTTCCTCAAGAAGTTCTGGTTTGACTTTCAGGGGTGACCAGGGTGGGAACACACCTGCTGTCTTTTCTTCTACAAGCCTGATCCTCCTTCTTCCTAACTACCATTAAACAGCCTTTTCTCCTGAACTTCTTCTCTCTCTGTGATGAACTCTCAAATTCCCACACTTAACAAATTTTGAGTATCAGCTGTGGACCAAGCATTGCACACAACCCTGGGAATACTAGCTATGAATGGGTGAGCTACAGCCTGCCCTGATAGGCTGACTGATGATCCAGCCGGAAGGTGAAACACCAAATGTGAATTACAACTGTGGGATTACTTAGAGAGAGACTGCTGGTTCTGTGGGGACATGTAAGAACAGGTCTTGGGGTTGAGAACTTTCTGCAGAAATGAATAGCTTTTTGACTTGACTTGTGGTTCAACAGAAGCAACACAAAGGCTCTTTTTGGTTTAAATGAGTATAATCTTGAGTCAATAGGCAACAACAACTGAAAAGTAACATCAGTTTCAGTGGTTGGGTAATTTCCAAAGTTTCTGGGTGACTCTCAGTGAGAGACAAGGTTCTAACTTCTCCGAGCAGGGTGGACATTGAAGATGTGAGCTGGGGCAGTAGAGGAAGACTGGTGAACTGTGTAGTCATGAGAGCTGTCAGACTGGCTTCTATGACCATGTGACACATTCCTTTGTAGGTTCCAAGAAATTCTGTGAAGATAATTTGTGGCTATTTGGATCCTTGGTCATTTCAGCTGCTGTGATTTGGGGAAATAAAGTTATCGTGATGATCCCATGTTGTACTCAGAGGCTGCAGACAGCATTCAAAGCATATTTAGGTTACACATTACAAGAGGTATTCACAATTTGTAAAAAAAATACTTTTTTGGGTAAACTTTAAAAAATCCAGAAAGGACAACAATTCTAAGGAGAAGCTTGAAGTAGTGATGTTACTGCCTTCACATTAGACTGAAGGGAAACTAAAAACATAGGATCATCTCAATAGATGCAGAAAGGGCATTTGCCAAAATCTAATATCAATTCATGATTAAAAAAACTCTCAGTAAACTAAGACTAGAAGGGAACATCTTCAATGTGATAAAAGGCATCAACAGAAAAACTTAGAGCTAATATCATACTTCATTGCGAGAGAATGGATGTTTTTCTCCTATGATCTGGAGCGAGGCAAAGGTAGATCGATGGAGCATAGAATCAAAAAAGTAGACCCAGATATATTTTATAAATTTATTTTAAACAAAGGCACATAGGCAATTGCCCAGGGAAAGGATAATCATTTCAACAATGGTGCCGAAACAACTGGACATCACACACAAAAAATAAATACCTAATACTATATATAAAAGCTAACTCAAGAGAACATAATGTGAAAAAATAAACTACAAAACTTCTAGAATAAAACAAGAGAAAATGTTTGTAACTTTAGATTATGCAAAAAATTTTATAGGTATGTCATAAAGGCATAATTCAAAAAGAAAATGTTGAACTTCATCAAATAAAAAACTTCCATTTTTCAGAAGGCACTGTTAAGACAATGCAAAGAAAATTTGCTGACTTGGAGACAATATTTGCAATACATATCTGATTAAGGACTTGTATTCAGAATATTTTTTAAATGTTCAAAAATTAATAATGAAACAGACAATGTGGTAAAAAATGGGCATAATAAGCACAAAAACGAGACATTTCCACCAAAAAGATATATGGATGGCAAATAAGCCCATGAAAGGACACTTAAAATCATTAGTCACTAGAAAAATGCAATTTAAGAGCAAAATGAGATAACACTCCACACACTGGAATGGCTAAAATAAAAAAATAACTAACAATACCAAGTACTACCAAGAATATAGAACTCTCAATCTTTGCTGTTAGAAATACATAATCATACATTTTGGGAGTTTGGGAGTTTCTTTTAAAATGAAACACACAACTTGCTATTTTCCTCAGAAATTCTATTCTTTGATATTTAGGTAAGAGAAATAAAATTTATGTTCACAGAAAAAGCTGTAGGCCAATATTTATACTAGCTGTATTCATAACTTCCCTGAACTTGAAACAACTCAAATGCCCTTCAACTGGTGAATGGATAAAAATAGGTGTATCTATACAATAGAAGGCTACTTAGTAATAAAAAAAAACAACTACTGATACATGAAACAATAGTAATATATCTCAAATGCATTATTATATGTAAAAGAAGGTAGACTTTAAATGCTACTTCTTCTATGATTCCAATTATATGACATTCTGGAAAAGGCAAAATTATAAGAACTGAAAATAGGTCACTAGTTGCCAAGGGCTAGTAGAAGGGAGAGGTCGACAATAAGCACATGAGGGAATGTTTTGGGATGATGGAACTATTCTATATCTTAATTGTAGTGGCATTTACATGACTGTATACATTAGTCAGAGCTCACAGAATTTGATACTTAAAGGTGACTTTTTTGATATGTAAATAATACCTCAAGAATAAAACTTTAAAATAGGAAAAAACCCTA